TTTTTTGTACGGGGTGCCGACGACCCCCGACCGGTAGGTGCCGACCAGCCGATCGGTCGGCGGGTCAGCAGCCGACCAGCCAAGGGCCGCCAACCGTCGGCGGGTGCAACCCTGATTTTAACTGATGTGCCGAAGGACTTCTTCGCGCTTTTCAAAGCCTCTGAAGGAGAGGTATAACCGTTGACATTGAGTCTGAATCTGCACAATTGTGTTTGGAAGTACGCAATCGCGATTCGTCAAAATCCATCCTGGCTCTCTTGATAAAGTTTACAGGGTGTTGGTTTAAGGCAAACTTACCTCATAGACCTTGGGCTTGCACGACAGTTCCGCTCGATGTGGCCTCTCGATCCACACTTATAGCATTTGTTGCTCCAATCCCCAGCCCTGCAATCACGAGCCCAGTGGCCATCCTTGCCACAGTTATAGCACCTTCCTGTCCCCGGAGGTGGACCTCGGCCCGTGTACTCTCGTGGACCATAAGGACCCTAGACACGGCACAACAAAGAAACCAGTACCAGGGATGAAGTGAGGCTGTCAGAACCCTGGGATCCGAACGGTCCATAATAAACGAAACAGGACTACGGTAGGGCTGCAGCACCTTCCGGCGGTTGCCAAGATGCGGGGACCTCATCCAGTGTATTGTCGTGGGCCATCGGGACCCTGCACACGGGACAGCAAGAAACCAGGACCAGCGATTAAGTGAGGCAATCAGGACCCTGGATCCAGATGGTCCATAACAAACGAAACAGGACTGCGGCACAGATCACAGGGGCTTTGTCCCATATACCTCTGCGGGCCATAATGAGTATTAAGGACCCTGTGATCCGCAGTGATTAAGCGGGTCTGGTCCAGAGTAACCTTGTCGTCAGACATAAGGACCCTAAGTCTGGAGTATTCACAGTCACAACAGGAAGCCAGGACTGAGTAGGTTTTTTTTGTTTTTGTTTTTTTTTCAGGGGGGTATTAACTGGACCTCAGACATAAGGACCATGAGTATGGAGTATTCACACTAGATGACCCGTTGCGGCTTCGCCCGCAAAAACAGAAGAGGAAAAAAAAGCACAAAAGAAAGAAAAAGCATAAGGAACTCCCCTATCATATTCTGCCGAGCCTTTTTTTCCCTTTATCTTTGAGTGTTTTGTTTGGGGAACCATTACCTTCGCAGCATCGTTTTTGTTTTGTGATGTGCAAGAACTCCTCCACTTTTCTGAGAAAATCCTGTCCATTGTCCCGTTGATGTTTTTGCAGCTAAAGATTCAGATTCAGACTTTGTTTGCTGTGTTCTCTGGATATGTTTGTGATCAACCCATCTTCCATGTATGCATGCCCCGTGCTTACTTGTTGAGTTTTTTCGCTATGTGCGCAAGTGCATGCGTGTGTGTGTGAGTCTCACTTTGGTGGGCTCGGATGAAGTCATTGATGATTGGCCCAGGCAAGTTGTTGGAAGTCACCTCCAACAACAATAGGAGTGCCACTGATGTTAAGAAGCAGGGGTTTTGCATTGTATGAATGATGAAACAATCAGCAGCATTCAATCTGCTTCGCAGTTGCTCTTCGCGTGGGGGACTTGTCGGGAGCAGCATTGACATGAGAGCATCTTGGAGCATTTCCGGGAAGGCAAAACGCAAAGAAGAAACGAAGTAGCACGTGTCAGAGTCACATAACGGACAGCTTGGCACAGTCCCCCCCCTTCTCACTCTCACACACACACACAAAAAAAAAAA